AAAAAAAGTGTCTGGGGGTGTTGCTGCAGAAATATTCCGGAATGGTGGAATGAATTTGCTGCACCTTGGGACACGGGAAGCCTATATTCACATGCACTTCTATTTAAGACCCATTACAGCCACACAGAGGAGAGAGGGGCAGAGTTTTTACAGTTTTCTACCTCGCATCTTGACAAAGGGAAGTGTTTTCTGACATCACCCATTTGAGTTTAAAAACACTTAAAGGAGAACTGCACAGAAAAAATGGATTCCAAATATTAAGTGGTCAATAATGGAGGGCATTTGAGTTATTATACAAAACCTTTATGTTTATTCGTTTTTTAGTACAGCCCAATGTTCGTCCTTTCTTTTTTTTTGGCACAAAAAGTTCTCCTGTGCTGCATTTTGTCTGAGACAGACGACATATCGAAAGGAGAGTAAAGGGTCTTACATAGATCAGGCTGATGCCACAGGCCTCTCGTGTACCTGACAGAATATTTCACCAACCCTACAGGAGATCATTCACTTATGAGGCAGGCTAATAATGTCCCCCAGAACAGTCAAGACACTGAAGGTAGGAAGGTGCATAAAGTTTTTCCAATTTCTTTCATGTGATTAGATTTTGCTTTTACTGCGTCGTATTGAAAGGCCTTTTTAGTTGTCAAAAGAGGAACTTCTAACATTGGCATGGGAGGGGAGAGTTGATGAAAAGACTACTTGAGGAATCTAGTCGAAATGGAAGTTTGAGATGACAGACACGGACACAGCATGCGCCAGACAACATGTCATGCTCTGCTCAAAAAAAAAGAAGAAAAAAATCAGAAAAGAAATGTGACAAAGAGTTCAAGAAAGGACAGAAGGAGTGGGAAGCAGAGAAAGAAGAAAAGAGAAGGAATTTTTGTTGTTTGATTCCATACTCCACACACTCACCATCTTCTGTCGGGACATAGATGTTTAGGTAAAGACAGTCTTCATGTTGATCCTGTATGTATGTGGTAACTATATCCAGATTAAAGGTGAACCATATTGGCATCATGATCTCTGGCACAGCGTTGTGAATATTTTGGGGGCAGACGGGAGCAAAGTGGGTGGCGTTCTTGATCCCAGACCAGGAAGAAGGAGGCTCCGGGGGCATGAAGCGCTTCTCCCCCACGGGGGGAGCCGCGTACGGGACCCCGAGATACTGGTCAACCGGTCCCAGGATCTCGCTGGGCAGGGGTACCCTCACCCCTCGGAGTTTCCCGTACTGCGTGTTCACACTGGGGTGGTAGTTCTGGCCTTGCACAGCTGCGAAGCACCAACTGAAGCTCAGGACCCACAAAGACACACAGAYGCTGGTGCGTTTGTGGACATTGTGCCAGTTCTGAAAGGGCAAATGATTTCTCCTCTGAAAAAACCACATGATCCCTTGGAGTGAGAGCGAGCGCAGGTGACCAACATACAAGCCGGGAAGTGCCCTTCAGCAAACACACGGGCTTGCCGCTAAGCCCAGTTCTCCAGCCTCCGGAGGGACAGTCATCAGCTGTGAGAGTGGAGCCCACCAGCTTATAAACGATGAAAAACAGCCACAGTAGCCCAGGTCCTCTCTRCTTTAGGGGTCCTTACTCACAGTTCTCTCTGTGCTTGTCAGGTCCTCTATCCAGTGCTGGTGAGACAAAAAAAGAAAAGAGGACAAGAAAATTAGCAACAGCTTTTTTATTTTTTGACAACTCACTATTTTTAAGCAGTGTTTTTTTTTTATTGACTTGTGGTGTCTTTTTGTGTCATGACATAAAACAGCTCACATAAACATGCCAGAGCTCGTAGAGCCATCATCAATCCATATTACAATTAGCTCTGGGGSCAGCTTGTCGAGATGTGTCAAATAATGCTAATGGGACGATTGAAACGAGAAAGACACAAACTGTCAGCAGGTAATTATTTGCAACTTTAAGAGCTGACATTTATGTTATCAGTGAARGAAGAGGAATATTTACAGGGAATGCAGTGCTTAAAGCTCGAAGCAGAAGCCATAAACAGAAACATAATAATGTAATAAAAAATTAATGTTCTGTTTAATGTCATGGGGAATGTTTCCCTACATCTCCCTTAGCTGTGGAAACGGACATGCTGGAAATTAAATTTCATCCATCTTGTTTGCTCTCACAGGCGATCACGCGTTGGGACGAACGGGTGGGGTTGGGGGTGGGTGGGCGAGTTGTGGCTGCAGGCCGCACAGGTGCTGTCAGTGTACAGCCATGTACAGTAAATGCTAATCAACAGTCCCATGGTGAACCAGAGGTGTCAAGAACAACAMCTTCCCACACTGCCTGATCAATTTTCAATTTCTGTAGTTTAGGGTCCCCCTCGGACTCGTGCGCCTACTGCCGCGTTTACTCTAATAACCACGGAGAAGAAAAGCCAGCGTTTAGAGGAGGATATTGCATTCCAAAATGACTGAGTAAATAATTTACAATATATCAACAGCCGATGGAGGGCAGCTAACCGGTGAGAGAAAGCAATCCTGACGTTCCTGGAGGGGCTGCAATCACAAGGCAGTTATTCTGATCTGCTGCAGCCACGCAGCAGCAGATTACCTGCTGTTGGAATGTACCTGCTTAGCCCTACATGAAAGCCCTCATTTCCATTATAATACATGTAGATATGTTGTCYGGCTATAGATGAGCCCCTCTTCATAGATACACATGTAAATTAAATCTGGGTGGTGGACAATGCTGCTTAGACCCCCCAACATAAGCAGCTATGTTATAACACATGAAAAGCCATCCATATCCAATCTGGGGAATAGAAGGCATGAATTGCTCGGGGCAGAGGGCTCACAAAGGCTTCAAACTGCTGGAGAAGTCACACTGACGAAGTCCTCTGTAGCATATATATATATATATATATATGTGTGTGTGTGTGTGTGTGTGTGTGTGTGTGTATAAAACTCTTGCAGACTTTATTACCACAACCCCTTGTGCTATAAAGTACTATAACACTACAGACACAAAAACATTTAAAACCAGCTTTTTTACTCACTACACAAAACTGATGTGCTGCAGGAACACAACATTCCTACCAACACAGCTTCACTTGAAAGGATGCCTAAAACGCTGGAAAAACACAGCAAATTTAGAAAAACCCTTGAACCATGTAATAAAAAATATGCTCCATTTCGTGAAATGCACTACTAGTCCCTTTAACAACGTACCAAGGCCTTTGTATGCCTTTGTAAACTTTGACAAYGCAATAAGTTTTTTTTAAAAGAATGCTGTACCTAAGCTAGTCTAAACCTGAAATCTGAGGCATGGTGGCTCAGTTGGTAGAGCTGTTGTCTGTCTGCAAKTAGGTTGCCAGATCRAATCCTGGCCCAGGACCTTTCTGGGTAGAGTTTGTATGTTCTCTCCATGCATGTGTGGGTTTTCTCTCGGAAGTCTGGTTTTCTCCCACAGACCAAAACATGAATGTTAGGTTAATTGGTAACTCTGAATTGTCCTTAGTTTCGAGTGAGAGAGTAAATGGTTGTTTGAGTCTATGTGGCCCTGTAATGGACTTGCGACCTGTCCAGGGTGTCTCCCTCTCCTTGCACAGTGACTGCTGGATATGGGCACCAGTGACCTCTGTGAACCTCAAAAGAAGAAGTGGGTTAAGATAATGGATAGATGGATGAATTTGACACCCCTCCCAACATTTAAAAGTAGACATATCATGCGTATAAATCCTTCTTATTCACATTTCCAGACTGGTTCATTCTAGTTTGACAGAGGGAGTYACGACTATATAGCGGCGCAGAAACATTTTCTTTACGAATTATTTAAGATGTCAACAACGGATGACTTATCCATCCAGCCTTACATGTTGGAGCCAGAGTCTGATCCAAAGCCAGAGGAGAATGAAGTCCAGACTTTTTKTGTGAGCTATGTCACAAATACTGGTCACTTTTATCACTGGATCTAATTGCACTACTCCAACTATATTGTCTGCTCTGATTACTGTATTGAACTGATGTACAATTGTTTTATATATTTTATTATATTTTTCCTTTATCCTTTGCATTTTCTTTATTTGTTATATTTTATACCTATTGCATCTTTACGCTAAAGCAAATTCCCAGTCTGTGACAATGGCAATAAAACCGATTCTGAAAATACAGAAAATGTCATRGAAATTAAAGAAAACTGAATGGGAAATAAATAATTAAAAACACAAATGAAAGATATCTATGCAGAATTCAAAATATTAATAAAACAACATTTATCTGAGTAGATAATTGCTTAATGTACAGTACATGTATATGTCTGGATTGATATATTGTATGATATAATAATGTATATGGTGCATGTGGATGTTGTGTGTGTTTTGTTTTTGTTTAGGAGAAATGTACATTTTCTGTTCTTTTTATTTTTTGTTGTAAACTTATTATTGTTGGACCCCAAGAATAGCTGTTTTACTGCAGCTAATGGGGATCTTAATAAACAAATAAACAAAAAGAGAAGACAAACCTTACATACAAATTATCTGTGATAAGTAAAAATAACTAATCTGTAGGAAAATCATAGTCTTTATTTTATCCAAGCTGAAGAGAAAATATATTACCCAGCTTTTACTTTGAATATTACTCACAAAAATGATTTGTTGAATGTCTGCAAATAAGTGCACAAGGGAAATATACACATCTGTATGAGAAACCACTAATAAAAATGGATGATTAGTATTGCTAGATCAATCTTTTCTAGCATCATATGCTTTAAAAATGTAATCAAAGAAACTATAGCCTGTTTCAGTTAGACAATAAAAAACATCACATTCTGTTAGAATTCATTTTAAAATGACAAACACGTCAATTTAACCAGATAGATGTCATGATTCTCAGTTTTTGGTCAGTTGGTTTTGTTGTATTACTGTTGTATTCATAATTTTCTCTGCTTTCTTGTTTTTATTTTGTATTTTGAGACTGTTCTTTTTGGTCTTCTTAGTGTCTTAGTGTGTCATTGACTGTTTCCCTTCAGTCATTCTTACTTTCAGTCACCCATCCTCATTGGTTCCTCATGTGTTCATTAGTCTGAACAGTTTCTACAAGTAATTACTCATCCCAGTTCTACTTCTACTCTTGGTTTCGTCATCAATCAGTCATACTGTTTGTTACCAACTGGCTGTCTTGTTTAGTCACTTCATGGTCCTCATGGTTTCCACTGTCCTTTTCTGTATGTATTATTTTCAAGTCTCACAGTCTGCATCCTTGGGTCCTATTTCAACATTTCTGACACTAGTTGTTAAGACCTGCCACTAAAAACATTTGAATCAATATGACAAATTAAATACAGCAAAAAAAGTCCATGAATAATTGGAGCAATTCAAATTCTATATAAATCAAAACATGATTTGATTTCTAAATTTTTAGACGTTAGATTTTTGGGTTCCAAATATCGACAGAATGATGTTAGAAGAGGTGATGCAACACCGGGGTAAACATCCTCTTATATTTGCACCACATTTCAACATAAAATAACATTTTTAACACCTGAGACATTTCACAAACCCAAAAAGAGTCAGAAATGTCATCTATGTACTATATTACTGATCACATATAAGATTATCATTATTCACTTTGTTGCATCATTTAGCATCCCAGTGTCTTTTAGAAAGGAAATGTGAAAAATTTAATAAMGTTTATAACAAGGAGGTTATTATTTAACTGTCCAGCAAAAAATGTAGCCATGATGAGTCATGTTGAAGCATGGGTATGAAGTATATGAATGTTTTAAAAATGACACATTTAACAATTGTTTCAACAAGTGCATTTGAAATTACTTATAGATGAATACAAGGCCATTTTCTAAATCACATGTTGTAAACAGCATGTTTAAGCCACATCCTTGACATTTTCCTAATCTTTGCCATGCAGGTTTGTATACTGAACCTAAACAAGTAGTTTTTACTGCCTAAAAGATTACAATGTAAATAAATAAATGAATAAATAGAATAGAATATTTTCTGAAGTGAATTTCTGGGTATTGGTTAAGAAGTAYTAATATCTTTCTGGTTTCAAAATACTTAATTCTGATTAGACTGACAAGCTTGCAGCTAGTCTGAGTGGGACCAAAACTTAAAGTTGATTGCATTACATTTTCTCAAAGTTATTTTTAATCTGAAAAGAGCTTCACTGAGTGAGAACTAATGTTCGGGGCTCCGTAAACAGTTTCAGTTTCACTTTCAGTTTTACCCGAGAAGCCTGCAGGAGTCATGGGCTGGGTGTGTGTGGGGCGGGGAGCTCCGCCATGAGGAAGTTCTGCTTAAAGACACGTCCTAGGGGCGTTTCTGGTCCCAAAAGGCGTTTCTGGTCACCACCTGTCGTTTTGCTCCTCAGCATGGCTTCCTAAAAACGCTGCAGGATTTCTCAAACATGCATGAATGAGTCAAAGCAAGGCTTTGGGCATGTTTTTTATGAGAGTATAACATTAGAACATGATATAAAACTAAAAAAAAATTGATTTTACATGATATCGCCCCTTTAACATTTTGTTTTATATGTGACACCCCTTATAAAACTACAAAATTTTAAAGCTTTACAACTGTGACAGTTTCAGATTACATTTTTCCCCAGCAGAAACAGTATATTTGTGTTAAAACTAGCTTCAATTGCTATGTTGCCCWTGCATTTGT